ACATAAATAAATGATATTTTAAAACATATTACAATAGAAAACAGCTATTTCAAATTGTAATAATATTTCACAATATTACAGCCTTTACTGTACTTTTGATCAAATAAATGCAGCCTGGGTGAACATAAGTGACTACTTTTAAAAATCTTACCGTCCCCAAACTTTTATATACTATACAATAATAGCTCAAAATTCCCCAAAATAATACACAAAATCAAATGACAGACGCACCTCTCGGATCTTGCACAGTAACTCTGGAACGCCACCCAGCGCAGTGGAGGCTTTACGGTAATCTCGTCGCTGGAGCACCAGCTGCACCATCTCTGGATCTCCTGTGCTGACTGCTTCCTGCAGCACTGTGCAGACAACAACACACATATACATCTGCTTTAACTGGACCTTTAGGTATTTATCTTTATCTAAGAATATGGGCTTGTAATGGAAAGGTAAACATACTAGCTTCTATTCTATAGTGCACTGTAAATCACATAAAAAGACATCTGCTAAATGACCAGTAAGTGTCTTGGAAGAGGTGATCATTAGAGCATACACAACACTGCATCCCGGAAAAGCCGGACCAGAGGTGGCTGGGAAAACTACTGATGTGCAAGTGGTCATTATAGTTCTAATGGTATTCTTGTGGGGGTCAATGCAATTTACTTCAAAGATTGCCATGGCGATACTGCAAAACTATCTGATGTCTTATAAGACCTACTAAGTTGACTAATGTGCAATTCATAAGCTCTATTCTCACCTGTCCAATTTTTGTCGTTCTCTTTGGAAACATCTGCGCCGTGTCTGAGCAGCACTCTCACGGACTCCAAGTGTCCTAGTGAGACGGCCAGGTGCAGAGGCGTCCGGCCCCTGGGATCCACCTCTTCAATGTTACTCTGAAAGGAGTGTAAACACATACAGCTCATATCTTAGTGAGGAAATTGAGAAGTGCCAAAAATCATGAGCATTGCTCTTAAAAAAATTAAAATGGAAATATGGAATGCAACTGTCATTAATCAAAACACTGGATACTCTTCCTGTGAATTGGTCATGATGCCTGTCATATATAGCAGAAGTATTCAATCATTCAGATGGCATGGACATTCAAATAAGATCATCCTAGGGTGAAAGACTCAATCCTAAACTTAAAAGGTAGCAATATATTTACATGAATAAAGACACAATTTACTGTGAAAAAAATGATGTAATTGTTAAATAAATGTTACAAATGTGTGTGAAATATCTAGTTTCTATTACTTTTTTTCTACTTGCTGCTAGATGTATCATTTATCTATTTATTTGAATTAACATTTATTT